ACAGGTTATCAGACCACAATATAATTCATTCTTGGCGATAAACTTCTAACAATGTACGTAAATCTTATTTACACAAATAATGGAAGCATCGAATGCTAATCTTTCTAATACTGTAACGCTAATCATCCTCGATAGGTACATTTAATAACTATATAGATGAATCAAATTGGAGTTAAAATTGTAACTTTTAAATATTCACGACTTACCAATTCTCAATAGTCAACAACTTAAGTCAAACAAGTGAACATGATTTTGGCATCGTACATAATGCCGTTACTGGCGTTTTAATGAGCACAGAACTAATAATTAAAACAGTTTTCCTCTGACATATTTGCAATTAAAACGGATTATAATATCGCAGTCTCATAATAGATCTAATAAAATAAGCCAGTAATTTATGTCACATAGGCTATTAGACAGTAGATGTTTTTTTCGCACACATATCAATGATGAGGTACGAATGAGTACATTTTGTCATTAACTAGAAAACATTTTTAGAGAAACAATTATATTTTCACTTTTATATTTTATCTGACTTTTTAGTTTCGACGATTTCTTGTAAGGTAAAAATGTTCAAACTTGAAGTGCAAAAGGCCAAGTATTAAGTACTTACTTCGATAATTTCATACATAATACGTATACCTACGTATCATTTATATATTATAACATTTTAGAAAAGCCAAATGTTGTTCTTGAGCATTATTCGTCTGCTAATTTAGTCGTGGTTTCTAAGCATCAGATTTTTCTATTGAAAGTATTAAAGTTTTTAATAAATTTCTTCACTTTCACTCTTAAGTTTTGTACAGAAACGATTCAAACTGCTCAAGTAAATAAATAACTGACTAAAACTATCTGAATTCATATTTTAAAATAAACTGACTTACGTTGTAATATAAAAACGATTTCCCATTATTAAAATAATCCTTTTTTTTAGAAATATTATAAATGTACATTATTTTATTACGTTTAGCAACAATACTTCAAGTTTGACCAGTTTATGGCTTCGATTTTTTTGTGTACTATACCATCAAAATCAATTAACCATCAGTGACAAAACTATGCTTTACTATATCACAGAAAATACAAATTTAGAAACGTAGCTATAACTTAAGACAGCAAAAAAAACTACTTCTCAAAAAATCTTTCAAGCGTTGTATGACAGTAAACAGTATGTCCTAGACTTACCTTAGTTTCTAACTCTACCTTAATGAGATTAGACCAGTCTAAAGGTTATTTACATTATTATGAAAGATTGAATATCGTAATTGTTGCGTTATTTGAAAAAAAAAACTATAGTTAATTATTATGCTTTAAGACGTAAAATATACTTAGTTTTTGTGTTATATTGTCGTTAGTCCACAAGTTTTATGTATTTAACTTTTTATTTTGTTTTACAACTACAGATAGACATAATTTAGGCTATATGTACTAAAATAGGTCAATATCGTTCTTCTAAAAACCTTTAAGGAGATAAGCCAGAAAGTTTTTATTTTAACGTTTATTAAAGCAGTTGTTAAACAAAATAAGGTTGTGTTGCAATAAAAATGAATAAAAAATAGATACTGGACTGGAAAATTAGGCGATTTACATATTTCTTTACTAATTCATAATACGCACATTAGGCTAAATTTCAAACAGATACTAGATAAAATATACGTAATTTGAAATATTATCATATCGATCATAACTGAACTAACATGCAACAATGTATTATGGTCGACTTTTTTTTAGTTCCAACAAAAATACAGCATTGTTTATGGTATTGATCCATTTTGTGCTCCCAAATAGTAGAAATAGGTCATCTTGCCTACCTAAAATAACATTATTAAATAATATAGATATATGTATACTTATTAATTTAATATGACAAATCCATAACAAGGAACATTTTTAAAAATATTTCGTATTAGTTTGGTTTTTACTGTACGTTCTTAAACATTTTAATATTTTTCTATAGCTATAATCATTTCCTATAGTAAAAGTTTCATGGAATACCAATCATGGTTGTATGGAGGGTAGACGTAGGGAGATTGGCACCCTTCGTGCGGCGGGGCTAGCTATTCGAAAAATGTTTGTGAACAACCCATCACTTCATTACATATTTGTTTAAGAGCCTATTGCGTGTCTTCAATCAGTTTTGTAGTGTTCTGCCCCTTCCAGAGTGATTTTTAATAATAAATTAACATTATTTGATACATAAAGATAAATTTTGACTGAAAATTAATGGATAGTAGCTAGAAGACATCAAATGCACCTAACTACGCACAACTAAACAAAACGAATACCTATGTTTTATCTTTTCATAGTATCTTTCGTTGTATTTTAAATATATCCCCGCCTTCGTAGTTCCTCTTCTTGATCTACACATTTAAATAAAATGTTAAGTTGGTTTTGTGCGCTTCAAAAACTCAAAAAAGTTCTGCACCAATTGAGTTCAAATTTTGACACGATACACAAGCTGCTTCAAAGATTCTTTTTATCGTGTCAGTGTTGTTCCTCATTTTTAACGTGTAAAATATACGTGTGTCTTTTAAATATATAATGTACCTAACATATCGAAATAAGATGGAAAACAAAAAGTGAAAACCGTGAGAAGGATCCCAATTTTCCCCTCTTTGTAGGTATATGTGTTTGACAGTATTTAGGCTGTTACTGTTGAAGAAAACTGTTAAGCTCATATTATATCTGTTCTCTATTTAGAGAGCTTCATATTCAGATTGCACTATAAAATATAAATACTCCTTAACACTGCCCTCCATACATGATTACAGAACGTAATAACACCTATATATTAATTACTCAAATGAGGCCTTTGGATGGCTTACTTATAACCGTTACTTTTAATTAATAACGACATATTATGTAAGTTATTAATTATATACAATTTGAAGAAAAAGTGTACAACTTTAAATAAATATTATTTAAAATTATATGAACCACAGAATAGTCAAACAATAGTTGTTTTCGTTTCGAAAATAACTTTACTCGCCCAACGGCTAAGCTCGCAACTTGTACATAATTGTCGAGACAAAAATACGATTTCATATTTACAATCCAATTTTTTAAAAGATTTAAATGCCTTTATACTTTTTGTGACAGAAAATATATTAGTATTTTTTTTTTTACGTATGTAAACTAAATAATAAGGTATGGTGAATTTAATGATAATTGCATTTTAGTTTAGAATTTTAGGAGTTAACTATTAGATAATAATCGACTAATGGATTTGTAACTAGGTAAAAAGTACATCCCTAGTTTATTAAATTACTACGTCATACATTTATACCTGGTAAGAAATATTGAGCACAATATATTGAAATTAGAAACATATGCGAGTCAGGTCTGAAACTAAACTAAATAGGCCATTACAACAGGCCTATAATGATCAGTTTTAGTAACCATCCTTATTATTTAGTCATAGTCTCGGATCATACAATTACGTCAATCGACTTACAGCTAAGACAGTACTGACTAATGAACTAGTATCGCTTAGTTACCAACAGTCGACGGCGTGGTGACGCCGTTGCACCCGCCCAGATACGCACAGCCTTTACAAAACATAGAACATATAAATAACTGTTTTAGAGACTGACATTCAGTGATAGATTTACTAATTTTTTTTATTCAAGATCATTTAAAATACATTTGAACTCTTTAGTAAAGTGTTCCAATCAATTATATCGAAGTTTATTCTGGCATATTAATTCATTATTTTGAACAAACTTAAATCGATTATTGTTAACCTTAAGTCGATTAGAAGACCCTTCTATTGTGTGGATCATAATGGGGACAGGTTATAGCTTAGTTAACCTATAACCTGTCACGGGGCGTCTATTTTTAAACATAGATCTCACTAAGCACCCGTTCTCATTTACGGCTGTCTGCCACTCTACTCTATCCAGGACAACTGTTTAGTGCTTAATTGTCTTTCGAGAACATTTTTATACAAGCAGTATAGAGAACCGTAGTACATAACAGTAGAGAACCGACGATGTAAGATGTGATTTTAAATTCTCAAAAATAATGATTAATGATTATTGATGTGCATGTCTCGAGCCTTACCCTTTTTTAAAACATTTATAAAATATATATAACTTCAAATAGTCTAGGACTCACAGGGAATTCAAGAGCTTCTTTATAAGTAATAATATGCAGTATATCCGTATCTAGACGAGTTTAGATTAACAAAAAAAATATTACTTATTATTATTGAATACGTCAATATATTTAAACAAGTTATTATTAAAACATGAAATCTAATTCATTAATCCCTAAATCTAATTTTAGTCGTAGGAAATTAGTCGACTTAATATGAGCAACATTTGGTTCTCTCATTTTTGTTTATAATTAGTAATAATTTAATAGTCGATTATTCATTCGAATTAGTCAGTCGATTGCTAATCGAGACTTATTATATGACGCAGCCTTATTTAGCTTTAGATAACAATCCTATTCATGGTTGGATGTCTGAGGACTCATTAGTGTGTCTCGTCATAATTTTTAAATTGGTTTCCTCTATATATTAAGCTTTCTTTTGGGTTTTCAAAATGTTAAATTTTCCCTAGGATCTAAAATAAATATTTTTTAGCATCTTTAGCACAATGTTCAAGTTTATATATTTTAAATGTTGTTTTATCGTACTACACAACCATTTTAAATATTGACTGACATGTTGTTCCCTAAGGTCCACTAATAGTACCTCAAGCTTTTTCTCTCTCAGTATACACGAACAGTTTAGCCCCACCCCTTTTACCATGCACCTACCTACACTGAAGTTCTTCCTACCTTCTTTTACGGTTAAGAGGGCGTTCGACAGATCCTCTTATATCATCTTATAATGAACAAACGTATGTACGCCGTGTTTATATTTAGTGCACACTTCTTAGTCAATTTAGTTCGTCACTTTTATCACAGTCACTTAAGTTTCGTTCACAGGACAAAATAGGTGATAATATTCTGGGGCAAGGAAGTTTTAGTTGTCTTTTTAATATCTTTGGGTTTCACTGAGGAGTCTGCATTTGTGTCTTGCGACATTGACAGAGCCATTTGATGATGCGTGCGTTGCGCTCCACCACGCTAGGGGGCTCTGTGTTGCGGTAGATCTGCTTTTGGACCCCTGGGCCTTGGACCTGAAAATAAAATATTAAACGTCACATAAATCTATATAAATAAATAAAACCAGTTTTTTGTCTAGTGGTATCGGTGATTCTGGACCTGGTTGAAATATTTAATAACACAAGTCTGAGTTAATACAAACAATTTCCCGTGACAATATTAAGAAAATAGAGAAAACATTGTTTGTAAAAGACAACAGTTGCATCTTGTAATTGATGTGTCTGCCGTGTCCGTGTTTCAAAAAATTCCGGCAACCTCTAGCTTGAAAAAAGAAAAACACTGTTTTCTGTAAAAACTTTATTATATAAAATCTTTCGCCTTTGTTTAGGATGCCCGTCATTAGCAAGCAATGATGTTAAGCTATTCTATACACTATACCATAGAAAAATCTATCACTAGATTAAAAGTTACCGTGTAATCAGCAGCTGCGGCCAACTGGTTGCTATCGATAGTGGAAGCCGACGAGAAGAACACGGGACTGTCCGGTAAAGCGTCGCGAACCAACGCGTCATACTGTCGAGGTTCTAGGCCAAGACGTTCGAAGAACTCCTGGAGACGAGAAGACTCTTCTGTGGGACTGTCCGGGGAGTCTTCGCCCTCACATGGGGCTGAAGCGGGGCTGCGTCCGTCTGATCGTCTGTACCTGCAATATATTTAATAAAAATATTATAATATGGAATTTTAATTTCAATTCTAAATAAAATGAAGTTGTGGAGAAAGATGTGTTTCTCTAGTCTTTGTAATTATGGTTGACTTAAGACAGCCCAACAATTAATGTTGGGAAGTTATATACCATATACCATCGGTGCCTGAACTTTCCTCGTGTGATACAGGATTAGCAGCAAGTTCGGCTTGTATTCGGTAGATGGCGCTAATGTATATTTTATTAAAGATCGTCACAAAGATTTTACCAAATACATTATAGTACCTAACGTTCTGTTTAATATCCTATTGACTTTATCCCACAAAGTATTTCCTAATATTATTGTATTACTTGCCTATCGGAGATATCTGACTTTGATCGCAAGATGGGTCGCGGTCTTCGCTGCTTATACCGCAAACATCGTTGACGCTTGAACGTTCCCAGGGGCGACGTTATCTCTTCCGGTGTACATATCTACAATACATATAATAAAATAAGCAAAAGATATATTGATAATTCACGCCCCCTATTCATCCCGTGGGTGTCGTAAGAGCCGACTAAGGTAGCAAACTACGGAGGACAACAGAACAGAAGAAAAACTTGGCACATAGTCTATACCGACTCGTCTGGCCAACGTGGTATAGTAGGCCAAAGCTTCCTTTTTAAGGAGAAGCCTATGTCCAGCAGTGGACTATTAAAGGATGTTGGTGATATAGATATAAGATTTAAAAGGGTCATCCAGCCACAATACCATGAAATGTACACGAAAAACGGTTGTAAAAAGATAATATACTGTATGAACTTAGGGTTTTAAGCCTCATGTCGCAGTTGAGAATATTCTAAACATCAATCCAGGTTTTAAACTATCTGTGTGATAAATTTTGTCCGAATCTGTTCAGCCGTTTCGCGTGTGAGAGTAGTAGTACAAAAAATACCAAACAAGCAAAAGTAACAAACTTTCATGTTTAAAATATATGAATCAGTAAGATAAATATCCGAGTGGTACCTGCGCAGCGTTAACATAGTCCTGGTTGTCGTCGTTGCGCGGGCGCATGCGCACCTCCGCGTACTGCGGCTGCGTGCTCACCAGCTCTGTGTTGCCCTCGTGGTATCTGACACATAAAAATAGCAACATTGACAAATTTCTCGTATATTCTGGCTAAGAGCCCAGAGGTGTTGGCGGTGAGAGTTCGGGGGCGATTTTAAATAGTTTTAACTTCTGTTTTGCTTCTCAATAGGTAGAATACAAAGAATAAATCCAATAAAATAAGTCTTCAAATGAACTTGTAAGCAAACTTCGCCGCTTACCTAGAGTACTCCCGTGGATATTCATTAGTGCGTACAAGGCACTTGATGGGTGCTTTGTACGTACACTCGTAGTCACCGTAATCGTACATCGGGGGCTCATCCTGGAACTGAGGGGGCGGAGCGCTAGCCTGCAATAGCAAATAATAAGTATTTATACGAGTGTTAGAAACGCAGCAGAGGTTACATAAAACTGCAATATGTTTCAAAAATCGGCAACAGATGGCGCTGTACAATTTCGGTTTATTTGTAAATCGCGGTGTTGAGATTGTCCTGCGATTAACCTTTTGTCTTGAGGAAAACACTTTAATGTACTCATTTTTAAAGATTGTTTCATTTGTACATAGCTAATTAACACTTTTGAGTGGTGACTGTAAAATTTGATCCTATCGAGCCGAAAATCGTACCTCCTAAAAATATTTATAATATAATAATATAATGTACAGTAGTTCGCTACTTACTTGGAAGTGTATGCCAACTCTTGGTACGTGAGTATAGTGATGATGATGCTGATGATGCGGGGGAGGTACAGGTGGGGCGGGGGGAGCGTCGACGCCATCTTGGAACTGGGGGGGAGCTGACACGTAGCACTCCAGCGAAGTGCCGTATTCCGACACGTACGAGTTGTAGCGACTGATAAATATACAAAGTTATAAGGTATAGTTAGTAAACATTCACATAAAGAAGAGGATACTGGACCCTGGTTTGTAACTGAACTGTAATACACTATGTAAAGGACTGGTACTGATAAAGAGATATACGGCGTACCCTGTGTGGTCATGGTCGTGCTGCGTGGAGGAGCCCGAGTCGGTGCGGCGGTGCGCATGCGCGTGGTGCGCGGGCGCGCTGCGCTGCGTGTAGTGGCCGCTCGACCCGCCCGAGTCGCGCGCGAATGACGAGCCGCAGCGACTGACAAGGGACACCGGTTGTGTTTATTTAACTCTTTAAAATTTGCTATCAGACGATACAAAATATTTGCTGCAATTACAATACTTAATAAAGATGTCTCGTCATTTTCCACGTCCGCTTAACCAATTTAAAATCAAAGTTACTGCCTAGTTGTAGTAGTTTGTAGAAACCATTTATGTACTTATTTTATTTTTAGTTTAGTATTTATATTTATTAATCATAATTTTCTTTACTATTGCTTCTATTTTTACTGTTTCTTTTTTAAACAAAATTTCTAGCAACTGTTCCATTAGATCCATATTTTATCTCACTGTACTGATATTGTTATGAATGTTATGTACACCGTAATTGTCAATTCACAATAATCCAAATAATTACCAACAACTGAATGTAACGTGAATTGTGTAATATATACTAAGTGGTTGTACTTATTACAATAAAAAATATAGCTTCTTACTGTCAATCAGTGTTTTAAATAAGTTTATGATGGGATCATTATTGAACTATCATATTTTTAGCTGCTATTAGAGCAATGTCAGATATATGTAATAGCCTCTTACCTGTTATACGATTGGTAATTTTCTTCTCCGGGAGACGGATGCTCGGAGAACGCATCGCAAGATGACATCAGCGAAGAATGGTTTGACCTGAGAACAATCAGTTTCAATATCTTGGATAAAAGGGGGCTAAGAATATTCAGCTACTACTATGTTATGTTGGTTAATAGAGGAGTTCCGAACCTGGTGCCTTTAGATGAGCAGGAGGCGGTGCGCTGGTGCGTGGAGTGGCGGCGGCGGCGCGGGGAGCGGCCCAGCGTCTCCGTGTGGCCCACGTTCACACTGGAACCACACCACATTCTACTTTACATGTCTATTCTAACTGATATGATGATGCGAGAGATGAAGGTGAGCTGACGTAAGGACTGGCTCAACCGGAGCTATGCCTCGGCCTCACGGAGAATTGGTGGCAAATAACTTTTCAAAGACCCAAATTCCTGCCTAATTATGGGGGGAGAGGGGGAGGTGGCAATCAAAGAACACGCACTTGTGTCTCCACGGGCGTCGGTATCAGATGACGTGTCGTGACGTGATATAGCATAAAATAAAAGGTGAAGAATGTAAGAGAAATTATGCCAACATTTCTATCCAGTCTTTTATTGTGTGTGTGTTCTTTGGATGTTTGTAAAGTCTATATCTAAAAAGCAAATCTTTAAAAAGTGTTACTAAAAAGATAAAATTTAAAAAAATGTTACGTTTCAGATAACCATTTTTTTAAACTAAGATCTAGAAGTATAACATTGATAGAATAGGCAATATTTAATTAAGTTAATTTATATATAGGTAAATAACACTTACTGTTCAGGATAGCACCGGGTCTGCGTGTGCAGATCTGGCAATGACTTGTGACTGTTGATGTTTGTGGAGCTGTCCTCCTCGCGCATACTTGGCTGAGAGTGAGAGTTGGATCTGGAAAACATTGAAAACCTTTTCCTCAAAGTCCTTTAGTTACAAGAAAACGGTTTATATCGAACTTGAATTGGATTAATTCAGAAATCATGTTTAAAGAAAATTAGCGGAGCTACTTTGAGCACTTGATCCTGCACCGCGCTATAGAAATTTTAAGATAAATGATTTGATTCAACAAGACAAGGTGGGATTACCTATTTCAAAACATAATGACTGGATTGGTCGTTTAATCTCACTTAACATTTTGCAAACCATCGACTAGAAATAATGATACAATAAATGATGTATTACTTAGCAGAAGAGAATCGTTATAATTCTAGAGATATCAAGTTTCCCAATATTTATAATGTTACATACCTGATATATCTCGGCGCCGAGTGAGCATACTGTGCAGGCGGGCTAATGGTAGGTACAGGGTCAGCAGGCGACCCTGAACCGCTCACCACTGGTTCTGGCAGTTCCATGTTCTCAGGGCTTGAATGAGAACTCGCTGTAAAACGATAACCGCGGTTGAATTTTGGGTCCAAGTTAGCTTCACTGAATTGGTCAAATGAAAGTGTACGTACGTATAGAATAAGCATTTTTCATCACAACTTCGTTTGCCCTTTGGCGTGGTATCACAAACGACTCCGGAAAGAAAACCCTGGCATCTCCAAAACTCAGGGGCCTGTTCATCTTCTCTCTGTGGTCGGGCTCCGATTTTTGGGCCTTCGAGCCTGAGGTTCCAGAGGATGAAGTCCCTGAGAAGGTACCAGAAAATGTTCCGGAGTTGTGCTGAGCGCGAGGAATGGTCTCCCGTTCGGGATAATCTTTGAGACGTCTGGTTTCAGCGTATATCTTGTGCGCTGAAATAGAGGGATATCGACTTTAATTTTGGTTAAGTGAAGTCTTTTTAATTTAGACACAAATCGATTGGACTGATAGCTAACTTCTCCTGTTATAGATAGAAAATGACTAGAATAAAGAAGTTTGGCTAGAAGAATTCCATGTTCTTACCAACAGGGAAAGGTGGTGAGTATACATTCTCTCTGCTATCAGCATGCTCCAGCAACCTACGTAGAGTGTTTTGAAGTCCTTCACCAGCGCTGATGGCTCGCCGAGTGCTACCTACACTGCGGGTTGTGCCATCTAGAATAGATTACGTATGTACTTGATTAATAATGGAACACATTATGACCTTAGACAGGGGTTAGCCCAGTAGTCAGGGTTGTACCCTAAGGTACATCCCCGGCTACTGGTACCCGAAATGGCGGTTTTTAGTCGGTTCGAGTCCGACATAACTACTGGTGGGTGGCATCCGAAGGGATTTCCGTAAAGAAAAAAGGGTTTGCAAAGATAACAGTGGCCGGGTACCTTCCCGGCTACTGGTACCCGAAATGCCGTGCGGTTTTTAGTCGGTTTTAGTCCGACATAACCACCTGCATGTCACGTCGTGATTACACCATAATTGGTTTGCCATTTTTGGATTATTCCTTATAATACATATCCTGCGCTTAACCAGGAGTAGGAGGTTAAGTATAGTGAAATAAGATTAATTTATATCACTAAAGAGCGGCAGGGTACGAGTACGATTTAATGTTCTGACTAATCTTGTACTGAAAGTAAAAAACTACAATGATGTATTTCCTATTTATAGAATTAGGATTGATTAAGACTTATAGTCATTAAAGTAAGTAAGCATATATTTTTGCATCTAAATCATCTGATGTTAAGTTGCTACCGGTATGAAAATTCTTAACTCTGATAGTGTTACATTTGTCAATTTTACCATCGCATGAATCGCAATATAACGTTATTCCATTATATACAGGTTTGATAGCAGTTGTGTACTAAAAGGAGATGCTTCCGTGTCTAACTTTTCACAGTTATTTTCAGACAATAAATATGTAAAGACAGTTCTAGGACACTTGCTGTTCCATTAGAATAGATCCAATACTAGGTCATTAAGTAAGTTTCTGTCCTTATATTAATAAACAAGGCAAAAAACCGTTTTGGAATCACTTTCGTTTTTTTGGCCATTTATAGACAAAAACAGCATCTTATAAAGTAAGGAATGTAAAAACTTTTTTATTTTTTCTAGTGACTAGTCACACAAGTCATCATTCATAGCAAGTTTACTTAGATATAAACAATACGTGTGACAATGAAATAATATGAACAATATGAAAGATATGTCTCAATATTTTAAATTCATATTCAACTGACGGCAATAGGTTTGGCCCCTATTACATAAATGAGGCTAAAATTGTAGTTGCCAAAATGTGGTCTATTTATAGGAGATCTATCGTAAGTATTATGTAGTCAATTATGGTATTAAAAGAATACAACAATATCTAGTGACTTGTTACAAAACATAGAAATCCTCACGCCGTCGCCTGTGGTCGACATTGATTAATAGTACCAAGTACCAACAATGCTGCAAGCGAATTAGCGTACAGATTCAGCAATTAATCTTCCATGTCAAAATGGTGGTTTTTGCAATATCTCAAGATGTGTTCATTACCCATTTTCTTTCGAGCATCAGATCTTGATACTATTAATATAATAACGTTGTGGATTCCTGATGATATTTAAGGTCAGCAGTGCAATATAGGAAGAAGAAGGATTGGGAATTTAGCAAGTAGGCAAACGGACAAGTGACACCTTATCGAAAATATCACTTGCAGCACAAGTGTCAGTATCGGTGAGGTGTATACAAGAAAATGCTTTTCGTCATCTACATTCGCATTATAAATTAGTTAGGAATTAAAATTTAGTTACGACTAGGGGTTTGAAGTATTGTCTGTCTCAATATAACGGTACACTACATCATTTCGATCATCTGAGACTTTGGACAATTTGGGGTGGTAAAATAGGGCGGCAATGGTCAAGTGTAACACACCGGTAACCACTTACCATCAGACAGGTAGTGTGCTGGTTTACCAATTAAGTTCTTTAAAGAAGTTGCACTGTATACTCACAGGGATTACAGCAGACATCGTTGTTTAAGGTGCCAGAGCTGACGAGATGGCAGCCGCCGGCAGCTATAGCTTGACCTAGTCCGCTGCTCATCTACAACCAAGTAACTTTATCAGCTTTTTAGTGTAATTGGATGGACACCTTGGAAACGGGCGGTTATAAATCAGCACAGGCATATAATAGATTTGATACGTATATATTTATTAAATTTATTTTGCTAAATAATTGACAAAACAGAGGTTGGTTGCTATTTTGTGTGTTGATCTATGACTTTAGTGTCTACATTAAAGACAATTCCAAATAATTTAATATTTTTATAAAATAAAGATATTTTGAGTTTGAATTAATTCTACCAAGACTCGTTTTGATGTGACTTCTGAACACAAGGGTCAACATTAAACAACCGTGATTCAGAAAAGTACAAAAAAAATTAGGAAAAGTTGTCTTGTTATGTAAAAAAAATCCGTTCTTAGAAAAAAGATAGACAATCGAGTAAGTAATCGAATAAGTTTTCAACACCTGAGTATAAAAGATAAATCACAGAATCACTAAAATTGGAGAATGTAGCGTATCATCATCATCAACAGCCTTTAATAGTCCACTGCTGGACATAGGCCTCTCCTTAGAAAGGAGGTTTTGGCCTATACCACGCTGGCCAGACGGGTTGGTATAGGGTTTGTGTCAAGTTTTCCTTTTCTCTGCAGTGCTGTTGTCCTGCCTAGTTTTAATGTAGCGTATATTGGATTCCAATAATAATGTGCATGGAAAGAAAAGCGGAAACCACACGGAATTTCTCTTTAAGCTGATTTTAAAGCAGTGTTCTTACCCTCAAAGGTAATTCCTGCTTTCTGTCTAAAACAGTCTCGGACTTGACATAAAAAGCTTTGGTTTCTGCAAGAAGCTCGACTGCGGACTTCCGTTTTTGCTGCTGGGGCGGCGCCAGCGAGCGTGGAGCCGCCATGCCGTCCTGCCTCTTGCGGGGAAGCTTGAAACTTGCGAATAAGGAATCTGCTAGTCGACGCCTGTAGATATAAAACGAATTTATTGTTAATAATACTTTTATACACTCGCTAAGCAGCTGTTTTAAATATATGTCTAATGTTGTACGTCTCTTGGCACAGAATAGGTACCAGTTGGATTACGCGGTACAAGCTGTAATATATGTTTTAAGCTATTTAAAAGGTTCTAAACTTCGGATATTGTAATTAAACTTTTTTTATTTTAAAATAGCTTTTTTTGTTGAAAGACAGAAGACTGATATAAATATTTGGGTTTCCTTACCTGGGTGGCGATTCGAAAGACCTTGAAAACGAAGCCGACTCAGCAGCACTCTCAAACTTTTTTCTGACTTCTTCGACTTTAGACCAGCCGGCCTCTACGTTGAGCCGGCGGTTCAACGGCACGGTTTGTGACGCATGCTTGGCAAGCTCGTCCCTGGTTCTCTTGACAGAGACCTCTGGGATGGTATCACGAAGGCGTGCCCTCCGCGCCTCGTGACATCGCTCGATGAACTGTTGTCGCCGGAGTGAGAATGTAGCTGATTGGTGACAGTCCTCGTCGTCCTCTAGACACCTAAATAAATATGTTTTTGTATCAAATGAAATAGTTCTCAAAGTAGAGTCACAAAAAAGGATAGTTCTCATACATTGTGTCATCATCGTATCATCACCATTTGAGATATGCAGCCGAAGAGTTCAACAACAGTTATTGTATCGAATGTTTTAGTGTAGAATTTCGCATGAAGATTTGCGTTCATGGTCAATAAATTGAATATTGAACTGCGTCTTAATAAACAATAATACTTAACCGTGGCAGCAGTCTAGGCTCTCTCAGCATTTATTTCTTCCAAAAGAAAAAAGATATTAATCAAAGTCCAATGATCAAATACCACAAGTTTATAAGAGAGTTGAGGCACTTAAAACTACGAGAAAGTAATATTATCCCTTCAAACTCTTAACAAAGAAACCGTACATCGATCATCATTATTACAAAAGATTTTCTGCCAGCTCACTACACACTTGCCGAAAAACTTTTCGGGTAACCTCTGAATTACATAACTAGCTTACTTGAAGACTAGCATTGAGTTCGTTCTTAGAACTAAATTATTAAGGCTGTTACGTTCTTTGGGTAAGAAGGTGGAATACATTTCGTCATTATAGCAACGAGGTATTAAACTGTGCATTGGACTGTAATGGTGTTGTGTGACTCTACAAAGTAGGTAGAGTTGCATTAATGTTTTTTTGACCTTGTTAGAATTATAGATTACTTTTTTATTGATAACTTTTGGTATAAGTCGATTTGCCCATTGTTATGGCAACAGGGCTCAACATTAATTTTAAATTAACGGCATTCGTTGCATAGCATGGCTGAAGAGAATTTAAAACTACTTGTTTTGATGTTTGTAAAACTACGGTAAATATTTATTTCTTGGCTTAGTGTTGCCGTATATAGATACGTCATACATACTAACGCTAACATACTTGAAGGGGTAGGCTCAGCCGTAAAATATCTCGTATAGGGCTGTGATCAAGGTACAGTACAGTTTCGTGTAATTCTGACTGCATAACAAGACCTAACAACAGCATATCACGTGGTACAAAGAAAATGCATATCATCATTATTATTATCAGCCCTATGATGTTTAATACAAATCAAAAGGCTCTGCAAAATAATTTCTCAAAGAACAGTCTTAGTTTTTGGTAGGACTACCTTTAGCTAGTAGTTTGTTAACCCTGTCCCAGTTCTGGCTTTGTATGTTTATACGCGTTTATAATTTATGACATGTGAGAATGTTGATGTACCTAGCAGGTATTGCAAGGTGCGAGCGGCAAGGCTGGTAGCAGGAGAGGGCGGCCATGTTTGCGGCGCTGCCGGAGGGCGCGGGGGATGCGGCCGACGTCCGCGCCGCTCATCATTCGCGCACCCACGCACCTACCACACCGCTGCTACTATAACCTGGAACAATTAAACACATCATATTTATCCTGAGATTAATGTCTTTGAGTCTTGGGCAGAATGTACATTGCTTGTTTGAGTGGATTAATAACAATTATTACGTAAATATGGTGGCATTCGAACATCTAGATCGCATTTCCAATGCTTTCACCATTACACTACACTTTTTGTATGATTACGTTACCTCAATCATTTTAGTTAATTATAAGTGTGAAAAAAATTAATTAAAGATATAAACATTTTTACAATACATTTTTAACCGACTGCCAAAAAAAGGGGAGGTTCACAATATGGCTGCATGATTTTGTTATGACTCTTAATATGTAAAAGGGTATAGGTACTTCCCGCTTGGTTCCATTAAAATTTAAGGAAAAATATTAAGACTTAAAATTAAGGAAAATTAAGGAAAGAGAAATACAGGTTTTCTTATTAATACATCACGATGAAAGTCGGTGATACTTAAAAAATAGTGGCAGCGGTGCTTGTTAAAATGTATTGCTTAGATTTAGCAATACATTTCGAAGTTGCAGCCTCATAGATATTGTTAGATAAATATTTGAACAAAAACAGCTCTCAGTACTTTCACTACATGACGCGACATTGGTAGTTAGGTAAGCGATGGTACGCGTAATCTTTGGATACAATTGTAGAGAAAACTTCCAAACAAAGCTCCCAGAGATAGATCAAATTATATTTCTTTGGCCTTTCCATTCGTTGGCCTAAGAAATGAGAACAAGATAGTGAGTGGCATCCGTTATCTCAAGTAAAGCATGTTTCGTGAGTGATTATTACATGTAGTTAATAGGTTCTTAATAATATAAGATTGATTGTAATCTTACATTCATTCATATTTACGCACTTTAGTTTGTTGAGAAGGTAAGTTAGGAACTTAGTGTATGCAAATTTTCACGATGATCAGCAAGTGCTCAATACGTAAGGAGGTAACAAAGAAACAAGAAACAGAGAAATCAATTTTTGCATGTTAGAATAGAATAGTTTATTTGCCATTAAACGTTGTACATAAGTTGTTGTTATAGAAGACATAAGTGCTAACGTTTAGTCATATTGACATGCAATAATTTTTCATCATTACAAATTGCATAAAAAATTGTAAAATCAATCAAAAATAAAGTCACGGACGAAAAATAAATTATAACTTAAAAACATCAATAAAAGAATTATAAATGTCACTAATACAAGTAAAATAAAACAAAATATTTAAGCCCTATGGAAAGGTTCATTCAGTGAGTAAAGACAGTTTTGTAAAAGCCATGATTTCATTATTTTTTTTAAATTTAGGTAAAGATATAATTTTAATATTTTCTGGCAACGCGTTAAATACTTTGAAACACATGGAATAACAGTTCTTGGAGTTGTGTGTCAGAGTTTTAGCAACCTTTACACTTAGCCCTATCGGTAGGGATATTTAGCAGGGATAAGTGTAACTGCCGATTTAGTTAAAGGAGAGCTGACTTAGTTGGGAGGCCATTTCGTTAGGTAACTTAGAAATAACGGCCATGGGGATTTTAAGAGCAATTTTTTCTTTAATGGACCGTGCGCTTTAGTGACAGTTCTTTACAAAAACATAAAAAAAATCTAAATATCTCTTCAGGCTTATAAATTCCATTCCATACCGCAATTTCAAATATCACTAAGAAACGCATGAATTTTACTAGCTGTTTCAGGAAAAGTGAGTGTAAGTAGGTACCTACACAAGCGTTACTGACTGTACAAGTGTTTGTAGTTACAGCGTAGTCATACGTGCCTACATCTCGCTGTCCGGGTATAATTTATCTATAATATGTATGCATTTAGAAATATATAGGTATTTTCATCAGCGGTCTAATAACCATAGTATAGACTCTGCCTAGATTCGGATCAGAGAGCCGTGTGTGAGATGTGTGAGGTTATTATTATTACTGATCGCACAGTTAATCTACAACTCTTACAACTCTACCGCATAACCTTGGCATTTTAACAATTAAGTAGGTTGAGTAAATAGTCATAAAAGTTTTAAAAGAAATGATTGAACGTTAAGTAAACATAACAAAATGCACGATAACGTAGTATTTTATGCCATGCGATTATAGAAAGTCAGTGCAGGGAAAATGAAAGTATGCATTTATCTAGTTTTTACTTTATCGTTTGGAATTACATGCGTTTATGTGAAACTTCTAAACAATGGACCTTTTTAATGATAAACGGAGCGTCAACATCGAAGAAGTGATCGAAAGGTATTATTAGGCAATGATATTGACTGTCGGTGTAATCACCATTGAAAGCATCTCAGCTCATCACATCACACATCAACAGCCTTTAATAGCCCCCTGCTGCAAATAGGCCTCTCCTTAGAAAGGAGGCAAGCAAGTTTTCCTTCTCTTTGCAGTGCTCTTGTCGTGCGTAGTTTGCTCCCTTAGTCGACTCTTACGACACGTACGGGATGTATAGGGGTGGTGGCATTCCGTATTCTTAATCCGTCACCACAGATATTCCGCCACTATCTTAGCGCTTTATTATTATTGTTCTACCAAAATGTGTAAACCCCCACGATTGATTAACTCACCGGTGCTCACAGTAAAGTGGTAGGTATGTTAGAAACGAACAAGTAAAACCACACGGTGTTCCGTCACATGAGTCTGTTGCGAGGGATTCGAATATAACCTAGGAAAGAAGTTCACGAGAAAGAGTATCTTAGCGCTGGCAGCGAGCATAGACAACGTAAGTTAGTAGAAGATAGGGTATAAAGTATTGATATCGGGCACCAGTTCAATATAAATATATAAACATTGCCATTGTACATAACTGTTGAGGTTCAAATTCATAACAGAATAAAGTTTTGTTTGAGTAAGTATTCACGATCGAATTATGTTTTAAATTGTGGTTTGTATTATTTTCACGTTACATCCAATTAAAAATATTCACTAATTAAGTTGTCAATCATCATATACAAGAAGAAATTTACAATTGGATCGTTATTAAATACAATAAATCTACATTAGTAATGGTTTTAATTTAGCCGTACCGCATTTGGTCAAGTGTAGATCTAGCATTCAACATGATTCACATTCTTTACCTTTGTCTTTTTTCGGCCCTCCAGAGATTTGTCATCAAAATTCGACAACCATAATTATGTGTTGTGTTGTAGTGAATAGTTTAGTGAAATGAAAAGATATCAGGGCCCCATAATTACCTTTTAAATGTAACTGTAGAAGATTTGGCTCGAGTAAATTTTAAAATCAATTAGAAAAGTTGAGTGTATTTGTGGCACATCGTTATTTTATTTACTCACGCTATTAAATCATCATAATTGTAGTTGAAATACTAAAAAAACACGATTTACTATTGTGACTGGCCAGTTCGGCTAGAGGTTAGTGATCCTGACTGCTAAGCCAGAGGTCGTGGGTTCGAGACCTAGGAAAAATAATTGTGTGATGAGCAGGATCATTTGTTCTACGTTTGGGTGTAGTTTATCTATAATATATAAAAATATTATTAAATAAATGTTTATCAGCAGTCAGCGGGTGGCAACCCCCTCGGGCCGTCACCCCACAGGAGTTTGCGGCGGGGTGGTGTGTCGGAATCGGACCGACTAAGACACGATGCGCCACTCTACGCCTGTAATAGAAGGGATCCGGGAACTGCTGCTATTAAGACATCCGCACCTAACAGTCTGGTTACAATAGCACAGGCTCTGTCGAGTTTGGGACCAGACGGCCGTATGTGAGATGTGTGAAATTATTATACTTATTATTTTTAAAGTAAGTTAAAATCAATTTACAAAATTCGTTTAAATGGTTAATTAGTTGGTTAGTTAATTAGCTTGTTAGCTAGTTACAAGCAGAGCTAAAAACAAATGAAAAGAATGAATATAACTCTTTGAAATTACGATTAAGTAAACTATGAAAACATGAATGTTTAATATATTCATTTGTAGATAACATTGTCTAATTCAATACGGATGTACAATAATTACTTTCCTCTTTTATTCGGTATAACCTAGATTTAGAAATTGTGGCAATTATTTAAACAAATGACATCGTTATAAAATTGTGTAAGCGGAAGAAGTTTGTCAGTGAAAAGTCTTGACAGGTTGACAAAAAATTAATGGAGACGGACAGACAGACGAAAATTGTAGTAGCGATAAGGAAGTATGCTATGTGTGCTATTATTATCGAGTTCACATGACCAGAGCTTGGATATACATAAACTTAACAAAGGGTAAAAATGCTCACTCATTTCTACATCACCCTAAGCTAGACTGGAAGAGAATGCTTCAAGCATTAAGTCAGCATATATGCTGTACATACACATAAGTAATAGAATAAAAAACAAAATATAGTAACATTCAAAGCGACAAAACAACTATCTCCATAACTTGATACTGGATACTTGCACTCCACAACTTTCGCTGCGCTTTTCGCTAAACTTTTTGCGTCGCACCACCACCCTGTGGAACAAATTGTCGCCTGCCGTATTTCCGGACTGATAAGAACTAAATCTTCAAGAAAGGAGCGTACTCCTACCTCAATAGTCAAGTCAGTCAGTCAGTCAAGCTGCAAGTGTTCATGGGCGTTGCTAGTCAGTTACTATCAGGTAACCCAGCTGTTCGTTTGCCCATGTTATAAAAAAAGTGTTATTATACAACTAAACTTCATGAAGTACAGGTGCCATTGCAACTCGGAAGGAAGTGGTGTTGACCGTCAGTATTTAGTGGTGGTGGGACCGTGGTGGGCGATTAGGCAGTCACTGGTGTATCATCATTTGCCCCCCTAATTACGGGATATCTTCGGAGTTTATCTAGAGTTAAAGCGAATGCCAGAGAAGAACTGACTGGACGTCTTACGTAGTTAGTGGAATACGAAAATTGCAAAACTATTCCGACAACAGTCCATCGGCAGTCAA